TTTGTATGGGCTCTAAATTGCTTAATATATATGAAACAGTAAAAGAATTCTATCTGTAAGACTGGTAATAGTTGATAATTGGCCGGGCGCGGTGGCTCACGCCTGTAATCCCAGCACTTTGGGAGGCTGAGACGGGCGGATCACGAGGTCAGGAGATCAAGCCCATCCTGGCTAACATGGCGAAACCCTGTCTCTACTAAAAGATACAAAAAATTAGCTGGGCGAGGTGGCGGGCGCCTGTAGTCCTAGCTACTCAGGAGGCCGAGGCAGGAGAATGGCGTGAACCTGGGAGGCGGAGCTTGCAGTGAGCCGAGAACGTGCCACTGCACTCTAGCTTGGGCAACAGAGCAAGACTCGGTCTCAAAAAAAAAAAAAAGTTGATAACTGAGAATTAAAGTTCTTAGAGGGAGTAGATAGACCTTTGAAAGAATATTGTTTTGTTATATCTGGTATAAATCCATCTTAGCATAGATAGGATATTAGAAAAATGAAATAAGTCACATTACTCCCTTTTTAAAAATGTGGAGTCAACCAGGCGCGGTGGCTCACGCCTATAATCCTAGCCGAGGCGGGTGGATCACAAGGTCAGGAGTTCGAGACCAGCCTGGCCAATATGGTGAAATCCCGTCTCCACTAAAAATACAAAAATTAGCCGGCATGGTGGTGCACGCCTGTAGTCCCAGTTACTCGGGGGGCCGAGGCAGAAGAATCTCTTGAACTGTGGAGGTTGAGGTTGCAGTGAACCAAGATCATGCCACTGCGCTCCAGCCTGGTTGATACATGTGAAGCATTTTGAACTGTTCCCAGCACATAGGAAGCACTCATTAGCTGCTATGATAATCACTGTAACAGGACCAAGGTAGTACATAATAAATTCCACAACGAATGATAAAAACAAATCTAAGCCACTGGGCGCGGTGGCTCATGCCTGTAATCCCAATACTTTGGGAGGCCAAGGAGGGTGGATCACCTGAGGTCAGGAGTTCGAGACCAGCCTGGCCAATATGATGAAACCGTGTCTCTACTAAAATTACAAAAAATTAGCTGGGCAAGGTGGCAGGCACCTGTAATCCCAGCTACTCGAGAGGCTGAGGCAGGAGAATCAGTTGAATCCGGGAGGCAGAGGTTGCAGTGAGCCGAGATCATGCCACTACACTCCAGCCGGGGCAACAAGGGCAAAACTCCGTCTCAAAAAAAAAAAAAAACCAAAACAAAACAAAACGAAACAAAAAAAATCTAAGCATCTCAGATAGATCACTACCTGATATTGACTACCTATTCCATATGCCATCCTGTCTTTCTGATATCAGAGTTCCCAACCATCATGAACCAATTAGTCCCAGCACTTTGGGAGGCCAAGGTGGGTGGATCCCTTGAAGTCCAGGAGACCAGCTTGGGTGATATGGTGAAACCCTATCTCTACAAAAGACACAGAAATTAGCTAGGGGGTGGTGGTCCCAGCTGCTTGGGAGGCTGAGGTGGGAGAATGGCTTGAGCCCGTGAGGTGGAGGTTGTAGTGAGCAGAGATCTTGCCACTGCACTCCAGCGTTTGTGCCAGAGTGAGACCCTGTCTCAAAAAAAAAAACCAACAAAACTCTCAGGTAGGTCTTTTGTAATTCTTCCTCTCTCCCAAATTCAACATGCTCCCCTCCACCCCTAAGCCTGTCTAGATCTGTTAACTTCATCTATATTACTTGGATGTTTAGTGTTTGAAGACTTGTGTGAACAACATTCTCATTTATCCTTTATGGGTGTTAATGTCCAATGAGTCATTTGTACGTTAGTATTGCAGTCAGATTTGTTTTCATTGGGTATCTGGCCAGAAATCAGATATAATGGGAGAAAAATGAATTTGTTGTTTGGGAGAGAAATAAGTAATTTTAAAATGTGGAGTATTTCCTTTCTCAATAGAGATTTTTCATTGGGATGCCAGGCAGCATAACATCCTTTGGGATGGGAAGAAGGGACAAAGAGACAAGTGATAGGATGTCAAAATTTATTTCATCTTTTTTTAAGTGTTATATTCATCCATATAATTGTGGATGAAGCAAATTTGGGGGAAGGGTCAAGCTAGGAAGCTACCTACCATTTATTATACTTTTTGTAAGAAGAGGAATTCTAGGTTCCAAATAATAAACAGTATAAAAGTCCCTTAAATTGTTTTTGGAATACACCCCCTTTTGTAAATTATGTAAACAGTAAAAGCTATGTAAATTCAGAAGATATTTTTTTCAGCTGGGCAGAGTGGCTCACTCCTGTAATCCCAGCACTTTGGGAGGCCGAGGTGGGGATCACTTGATGTCAGGAATTCAAAACCAGCCTGGCCAACACGGCAAAACCCCATCTCTACTAAAAATACAAAAATTAGCCGGGCATGGTGACAGGCACCTGTAATTCCAGTTACTTGGGAGGCTGAGGCAGGAGAATCGCTTGACCCTGGGAGGTAGAGGTTGCAATGAGCCAAAATTGTGCCATTGCACTCCAGCCTGAGTGACAGAGCAAGTGAGTCTCCATCTCAGAAAAAAAAAAAAAAAAAAAGATTTTTTTTTGTTGAGGGTTGTAGTACAGAAGGAATCAAGGAAAAAAAATAGAGCTTGAGCTGGATAATCCTTTCTAATATTTGAGTAGTGGGAAAGTGAGGAAGTTAAAGGTGTGGAGTGAGGGCATGTCTGATGCCTGAGGAAAAGTGGAAAGTAGTAGAAGATGAGATTGACCTAGTGGTATTTCAACTCTCTGGCTGAAAAGTCTGAATTATTTTCCTATGGAATAAATAGTTTTCTTTTCTTTTTTTTTTTTTTGTTTTTGTTTTTTGTTTTTTGAGACAGAGTCTTGCTCTGTTGCCCAGGTTGGAGAGCAGTGGCACGATCTCGGCTCACTGCAAGCTCCGCCTCCCAGGTTCACTCCATTCTCCTGCCGCAGCCTCCCGAGTAGCTGGGACTACAGGCGCCCACCACCACGCCTGGCTAATTTTTTTGTATTTTTAGTAAAGACGGAGTTTCACTGTGTTAGCCAGGATGATCTCGATCTCCTGACCTTGTGATCTGCCTGCCTCAGCCTCCCAAAGTGCTAGGGTTACAGGTGTGAGCCACCGCGCCTGGCCTCTTTTTTTTTTTTTTTTTTTTTTTGAGACGGAGTCTTGCTCTGTCACCCAGACTGGAATGCAGAGGCGTGATCTTGGCTCACTGCAACCTCCACCTCACGGGTTCAAGCAATTCTCCTGCCTCAGTCTCCTGAGTAGCTGGGACTACAGGCGCCCACCATCATGCCTGACTAGTTTTTGTATTTTTAGAGAGATAGGTTTTCACCATGTTGGCCAGGCTGTTCTCAAACTCCTGACCTCAGGTGATCTGCCCGCCTTGGCCTCCCAAAGTGCTGGGATTACAAACGTGAACCACTGTGCCCGGTCAGAAATAGTTTTCTTTAATGCTTAATATAATACACTGTAAATATAACCCCAAAGTATCTTCCTTCTTCAGTATAAGCTAGTTGTGTGACATTTCACACTTTTATTTATTTACTTATTTATTTTTATTTATTTGTTTTGAGACAGTCTTGCTCTGTCGCCCAGGCTGGAGTGCAGTGGTGTGATCTCAGCTCACTGCAACCCCTACCTCCCAGGTTGAAGCGATTCTTCTGTCTCAGCCTCCTGAGAAGCTGGAATTACAGGCATGCGCTACCATGCCCAGCTAATTTTTTGTATTTTTAGTAGAGATGAGGTTTCACCATGTTTGCCAGGCTGGTCTCAAACTTCTGACCTCAAATGATCCTCCTGCCTTGACCTCCCAAAGTGCTGGGATTACAGGTGTGAGCCACTACACCCAGCCTGTTATGCTTTTAAGAAATGGATTAAGCTCTAAATCGTTTTACAAAATAGAACCTGGCCGGGCGTGGTGTCTCACGCCTGTCATCCCAGGACTTTGGGAGGCCGAGGCGGGCAGATCACTAGGTCAGGAGATCGAAATACAAAAAATTAGCCAGGCGTGGTGGTGGGCGCCTGTAGTCCCAGCTACTTGGGAGGCTGAGACAGGAGAATGGCGTGAACCTGGGAGGCAGAGCTTGCTGTGAGCCGAGATCGCACCACTGCACTCCAACCTGGGCGATGAGCAAGACTCCATCTCAAAAAAAAAAAAAAAAAAAAAATGGAACCTGAGGTTTCAAATTTGAGAAACTTTCCACTCTGAAAGTCATTTTACATGACAGGATTTTTAGCGATACATGACACCATAGTCTAGCTCTATTAAACACTATAACAATACATTCTATAGGGCTGGAGTTTTAAAGAGGAAGAAAACCTTTAAAGCACTGTATTATTAAGCATGGCCTGAGGTGGACCCAGTGCCTTAATCTCATTTTACTTTTGCAGTTCGTTTTGTAGATCAAAAAGATACTACATTCCCCCATCTGTAATACTGAGTGGAAAGTAAATGGAGAAAGTAAGATAAACTTTACTGAAAATTGTACAGAAACACATTCTGTAAAGTAACAGCTGATTGTATGAAATTTCTGTACATTTTTCAGGGGAATCTATGAAGAGAGAGAGTGTGTGTGTGTGTTTAGGGGGAATGTGTGTGTAGTGAGAAATTCAGAGTGACCACCGCATGGTACAGTTTTTAGTTATTTAGAATGAATAATTTTTTCTTATCTGGTGGTAAGATAAAGTACAAATAAAGATTTACAAATCAGTTTTTTAAAGTACTCTATGTCTGATATACATAATAGGCTCCAATATAAACCCTCATAAGACTTCTGAAACATCCATTGTATCTGTTCCAGTGGCTGCCACATCCAGTTAAATTTCTTTTTAAGATTGTGATTTAGCTTGTACTTCATAAAGGTTTTTTAAAAAAAATATAGTGTTTGCAGTCAAGTTGAACAGTATCTTCATATCAATTAAATAATTCCAAGAATACATAGAAAAGCTTTGTGTGAATTTTTTTTTAATTTCTAAATTCACCATTTTGATACAAATACCCATGGTTTTCTTCTATGTTTACATGCAGCCAGGAGCTATGGGCGGAGACGAGGTAAATTTTTTTTTTTTAATGAGATCTTTTGCTTGCCAAATTGTGAGTAAATATGAGTGTGTTTATGTGTGTGTGTATTTATACCTGTGTGTGTGTAAAACAATAATTATTATATGGTGTGATGTTCTATCTTATTTTAGCAAAATAATTTATCACTTTCATTAAAATTACTTTTTGTTGTTAGTTGGTAATTTGTTCTTTTAATTATAAAAAAGATATAGCAAAGACTATTTCTCCTTAAAGTTTTTTGTTATATAGCTTATTGTGAATAAACATGAGGAAATAAAGGCCAAGCATATGTATTTTTCTGCCCTGTATTCATTGTGTTCTTTTCATACACCTTAGAAGGCAGAACTTGGTTTTGGAGGGCAATTCTTGATCTTATTAGGTTGGCTGGTGAATTTTTTTCTGTTATATTCAGAGTCAGATTTACCCCGGAGGCAAATGAAGCTTAAGTTTCAGGGCCTCTCACTTGCTTAGACTCCTTCCAAAGTCTACCTAATTTTTGTGTTCTTTTTCTTAAAGAGGGACCCCAAAATAGGCTTTGGTCCCCATAAAACCTGCATTCTCTCCTGGTCATACCCAAACGAAACAATACGACTTTCATTTGAATAATGCTGTAACTGTTCTAAAGCATTTCCTATATCTGTAGTTTTTTCAAATAATTTTACAAAGTAGCTAGGAGAAGCCGGATGTAGTAGAAAGCATATGGGACTTAGGGTCAGACACGTAGGTTGTAATCACTGACTTATCATTTAGATTTGGTATGCTTATCTGTAAATTATGAGGTAATAAAACCAGTCTTGTCCTACTTCAGAGTATTAGTAAAGTTCTAGTTAAAAAAAAAAAAAAAAAAGCCGGGCGCGGTGGCTCAAGCCTGTAATCCCAGCACTTTGGGAGGCCGAGACGGGCGGATCACGAGGTCAGGAAATCGAGATCATCCTGGCTAACACGGTGAAACCCCGTCTCTACTAAAAAATACAAAAAACTAGCTGGGCGAGGTGGCGGGCGCCTGTAGTCCCAGCTACTCGGGAGCAGGAGAATGGCGTGAACCCGGGAGACGGAGCTTGCAGTGAGCTGAGATCCGGCCACTGCACTCCAGCCTGGGCGACAGAGCGAGACTCCGTCTCAAAAAAAAAAAAAAAAAAAGAAAAGGGAAATGAAAAGCTATCCATGTAAATTAAAAGTATTCCAGAAATGTAAGTTACTTTGGTGCTCATTTGCAGAAGCTGAAGGAGAAGTAATAATTGACTTGCTGTGTGACCAAGTTAAAGCCAGAGTCAAGATCACAATCTGTGTCTTTTGGCTCTTTATTTGCTAATGTTTACCATTCATCAGGCTGTCTCTGACTTTGTAGTTGAGTCATGAAGAGAAGATAATGATGCTAAATTCAGAGTATTTTATTATGCTATTTAAAAAAATATTACAAATATTTTCTGCCTATGCTTATCCAAACAGTACTTTTATCATTTATTTCACAGCAAATATTTGTTGAATGAGTGACTATTGGCAGAAGCTAATATGTATGTACGGTGGCTCATACAGTCCTTTTGCTTTTCATCATCATGTGGAAAAACATTTTTGTAAATGATTATTTTCTATCCATGGAAATAAATATCATTAAATTTTATTGCCTTCTTTTTAAATTTAAAAAAGTTAAAGCCTAGAAATAATGTTATTAAGACATATTTTGTACCATATTTGTTTCATGTTGCTAGAAAAATGATTACTGTCAGGAAAAAAAGGAAATGGACTATTTTATATAGAAAATAGACACCATCTGGAGAATAGACAGCAGGGACTGACTTTTCCTCTTCTCACGTGCTAATCAGTCACCAGATCTTTTCAAGTTTTTCCCTCTAGTTTTCTCAGGTTTTGTCCTTCTCATTTCTGCTATTTTTGTTTCTCCTGTTCCATTTCTACAGCTTCATCTTTCTGAAACATCACTTTGTCTATGTCAACCCCATTGTCAATTCAGGATCCCCATGATCTGGCCTCTGCCTCTTTTACCAACGTGATTATCTTCATTTTTCTCACCTCATCTTCCCATGACCAATCTATTTGCTTTCCCACTGTCTGGCCATACAGTTCACCCTTCCTCTCATCTACGTATCTAAGGACTATACTTATTTTACTAGTTCAAACCTAACCCTTTCCAGGAAGCCTTCCCCAGTTTCTTGCAGACCGTGTTTTCCTCTGATTCTGTTGTCTTGCATTTTTCCTGCCTTTTCTGTATGCCCTGATTCTTCAACTGGGATAAGTTCTTTGAGGATAGTTGTCTCTAGTGCCTAACACTGGGCCGTATGTATAGTTAGCACTTATTAAGTGCTTATTGATAAGGATTATTTTGAAATAACACCCTACATATATGCAGAGCAGAGTTTGGCATCATATTTTTTAAAAATTATTTTATTTTTATAAATAATAGCATATTAATACTATATATCAAGAATATAAAGTCACCTATAGTTTCCAAGCTTCTGAAAAAAATACTCATCCTTTTTTCATTTTACTTTCTCCCTATTTGTGAGGTTGATTTTCTTGTTCTCAGAAGTCACTGTCTTCTTAGTATGAGGTGCTATACTAAATATTTCCTAGAATGACTTGGTCCCTGCTCTTGGTCTGCAGTTTGATAGGTATAGATGAAGAAGAGAATGATGAGAGAGAGAAAAAGAGAAGCACAAATGCTAAAAGACTGAATGTTGGCTTTCTGTAATAAAAAAGAATGGACAGAAAATGTTTTGTCCATGTTTTCAATAAGTCTTTCATTTCCAAAGCTGAAAAAGAAGTCACCTTCCTTAAATGTAGTGATATAACCATATGGGATGAAGCATGTCTAGATCTCATATCTAGAACGCTCATTCTCTGAAATGTATTCATTTGAGCCAACTCTGCATAATATACTTCTGAGGAATTGGCAGACTTCCTCATGCTTATTTTTTCATGTGATCAGGGATTAAATTAATTTTTGATCCCTTTCCTCTAATTAACATTTAGGCTTGCCCAAAAAGCATAAAAATTAAGCTTGCTGATGTATGTTACTTCCTCTACCTATGATTAGGAATAGAACTGGAGCTATAGCTCATTTTCTACGTGTTACATAAACATGTTGGTAAATTTTTTTCTTTTTTTGAGACAGAGTCTCACTTTGTCGCCCAGGCTGGAGTGCAGTGGCATAATCTTGGCTCACTGCAACCTCCACCTAATGGGTTCAAGCGATTCTCCTGCCTCAGCCTCCCAAGTAGCTGGGACTACAAGCTTGCACCACTATACCTGGCTAAGTTTTGTATTTTTAGTAGACATGGGGTTTCACCATATTGGCTAGGCTGGTCCTGAACTCCTGGCCTCAAGCCATCCGCACATCTCCCAACATGCTGGGATTACAGACATGAGCCACCGCACCTGGCCATGTTGGTAAATTTTCTAGGAACAGAAATAAAGGAAATGTAATGTATGTGAAAGTTTTGAGTTCTATTGGCCAGTGGACTTTTACACCTCTCCTGATAAGTGTGAAAAGTTTCCTGGGATAAGTAGAATTTCAGGACCTATTTGGATAATGGAATAGGAATGGGAAGCAAGACATTCTAGTACGTATTTCTCCTTAGAAGAAAGCTTAAAGATGAGATTGCCACGACCAGATGCTTAGAATACATATCTCTGAGTGTATGCTGTGGGGCCAGCTGGAGAGGAGAAGCTGGTAGTAAGACGATCTATGCTGCCTTAATGAATGTTTTTGAAACAGAAGGTGAAACTCCTGGACACAAATATTGTCAGGCTTTAGAAAGAGGGTTTTATGCTAAAGTAATGAAAGCAGGAGATAACTTGAACATCAGCTCAAGGCTTGGATGGGGGCATTGAAGGTGGACTCTTAGCAAACCAAGTGCTTCTAGTAATGTAGTTGAAGCAGTAATAATGAGAAATGAGAAGAATTATATGTGAAAGAATAAGATTTGAAAATAAATATCAGTTATGTATAGTTTTAAAATACCCAATTTATATCTATTTTTATTTTGTTCCAGTAGACAAACCTTGATTTCATTTGTGGAATAAGAATCACACCAAAGAATCTTACCATTTTTCTTTGGTAGTATTCTGCCTTTGATAAGCTTTAATATGTGTCTTCCTATACAACTGCAACCGCTGTTAGAAACTAGTCTACCAGGTAGTGTCATTTAAGACTTTTGCCTACACATTTAATATATGCTGTGCTTTTCATTTCACATGAGAATGAATTTTTATGGTCTCCATGAAACTCTTGTCCATAAGTGGACATGTTGGCTATGCCAGTATTTTTGATGTTTAACAGAATTTCCTAGTTATAGAGCAGTAAGGAGAATATGAAAGGTCCTTTTAACAATGCAAATGAGAAAATACAACTAGTCTACCAGGTAGTGTCATTTAAGATTTTTGCCTACATATTTATATTGTGCTTTTCGTTTACATGAGTATGAGTTTTTATGGTCTCCGTGACACTCTTGTCCATAAGTAGACATGTTGGCTATGCCAGTATTTTTGTTTTTGTTTTTTGCTTTTTGAGATGGAGTCTCGCTTCATTGCCCAGGCTTGAGTACAGTGGCGCGATCTCGGCTCACTGCAACCTCCGCTTTCCCAAGTTCAAGCAATTCTTCTGCTTCAGCCCCCCAGAGTAGCTGGGATTACAGGCACGCACCACCATGCCCGGCTAGTTTTTGTATTTTTAGTAGAGATGGGATTTCTCCTTGTTGGCCAGGCTGGTCTCGAACTCCTGACCCCAGGGGATCTGCCCACCCCAGCCTCCCAAAGTGCTGGGATTATAGGCGTGAGCCACCATACCTGGCTCATGCCAGTATTTTTGATGTTTAACAGAATTTCCTAGTTATAGATCAGTAAGGAGAATATAAAAGGTCCTTTTAACAATGCAAATGGAAAAATACAAAGAATGATTAGAGTTACTGTTATAAATGTACTCCTGCATATATTTAGTTCATAAAAATATATTGATATTAATTGGTTACTTAATT